GAGGTGGTGTCATGTTTCATAACCTCCAAATTTCCTAGAAACGTCTCATTTCCACCTTTAATTGGTAAGCTAAAATGCGTGGTATGATTTCGTTCCCCTCGACTCTTACCCAACATTGAATTTGGTAGCTTTCCAGAGAGGGATGCGCTTCTAGTCCAATAATTTGGCAATGGGATCAATAAAACTTGACATTTGGTCCCAGATGTCAGTTCGTAATACGTTAGCTGTTCATTTAGCTCTCGATTTTTGGCAGCGGGTCACTTGGGGACTACGCCTGGCCTCTGGGTCATTCAAGTTGCCCCCTTCCAGCTCTATTGTGCGTCGACAATGCATATTCTGCCCGTGTGTCACATCTTGGAGCGCCACTTCTTTACTAATCATAAAACATAACATACGTTATTAGCTATTTTAACTGATAATGGGGAAGGTGTTATAGAATAACAGAATTAAAGAATAGAAGGCGACATCTATTTTGGTTTACCTTTGTTGAGATTCCGGTGGATAAGGGCTAGGGTAAATAAAATCCTGCTTCAACTTGAATTGAGTAAACCGCCTAGACGTGATGTACCTTTGAAAAGGCATTTTGCAGGCGATGAGAGCAAAAGTCTAACTACTAGGTCCTTTCATCTACATTGATCGAGATGTAGGAAGGCAAACGAAGCCCAAATAGCTTAAATTCCAGCCGAGGGCAATTAATCATATCGGCTAGAATGAAAGTCTTTTCAGTTTTATTCGTGTTTTCCACCACCTCCACCTCCTCCTTCTAACAGCCTCATCTTCCCTCCCTCTGCCCTTTTTGAACCCCTTCTCTTCTCTGCCGGCTTGCTTTATAAGCTTATAAAATAATTTTATTTGGCTAGACAATTATGATGTGTCGGCACCAACTGTCGGCAACGACAAGAATGGAAGAGGGTGGAGCATGGAAGCAAAGTGCGTGTTTTCCTACGAAAATAATGTTTCATGTATGCAATTGCAAACTAATTCCGCCGAATTGTTTTTACCTGATTAATTGCCTAAAATGAGGAATTTCGACTGATTCAAGGCAAAGTAAACGTTATCACCCTCCTCATCATTGCCGCCTGCTGATAGAGTTGGTATTACGTTTATGCTGCCTGAAGTTACTTATTGAGGCGGCAATTTTGGGAAATTGTCGTTTGTTATGCTTGTAAGGTTGGTAGGGCAAGCTTTCTAGGAATTGATAGCTGGTGATGTATTGTGTTTCCAAGTTCTGAATGGATGATAAGGAATGTACTCGATGGAGTTGCCTCATCGCTCCACTGATCTGTTTTTTTGGGCAAAATCTACGCATCATCCTGAAGGTGACATAAAGTATCAAGAATGGGAAGAATGGAACCTGTGAATTACATTTTTATAAGATGAATCTTATTCTAACCATTCAGGTCCCATTCCATTCAACTTTTATCATTAAATTGAGATATTAGGCTCTGAAGCGAATAATGACAAGTGTCTGGAAATAGGACTTGTCTGGAAGCCCGATAAAATAGCGATTTATTCTAAAGAGGCAACTAGGTAAGGCTATTAAAAGTACGTAAGAGGAATAACTGGATCTTAGGGGTGATTAAAATACCTGCTAGTGATCAGTATCTCTCAACCAATTTAACCGCAGCCCGAAGCCAGTAGTGTGTGGTTATTCGTAAACCGAAAGAGTCTACACCTACATTTATGTTCTCAACTTAACAAACCGATTTGATCAAACTGACCAGGCATTACAAAATGCTAAGGAGCACATCACGTGTCAATGAGCCTGGGTTTTGATACAAAGCTACGCCGTCACAAATACGTGACGTTGGCATTAAACATGTCGAAGATAGTTGCATCAATTATAACTCCTCTTGATTACACAACATTTGGAAAAATAGAGCTTAAGCATGATTAGAAGGCAGCGAATCGCATTAAATGTCCCTCCAGAAATGACGTCTGGGAAATGTTGGTCAATGAAGAATTCCCGATTTTATGGAGATGAGCACGGCTAAGTCCGCATAATGGATGATAGAAAGTCGTTGCGAGGATGTAGGCGATCGGTTTACCAACAGGCCTCAAATATATCATCGTAGTTTTTTCAAAGGACTAAAATTGTGCCCACATCCTACACTATTGGTGCAAAGAACCACTCAAATTTTTCCCATAGATTCGCATAGATTCACACGGTGATCATCACCATGTCTTCTAACCACTGCCATGGAGTTTTAAGATTGTTCGACTTATGGATTTTGCCCAACCTTTTTAAATTACTTGGTATGAGCCAAAAAGACGCTCCGCTTACGAAAAACAGAAAGATTTTTAAGCCACTCAGTTTGAGTTCTCGGTATCCTCGCCGTAAACAACCGTTACTTTCACGAATGCATTTCTAAGTTATCAGCATGACTTTGATGCTACACATTCTGCGTGCAAATACCTTCAAAGTTTCCCCTCTCTCTAGCTTGCTTTTCACTACGGCTGTGAAAGTATACGCAAGTGAAACTGGTCGTCTGAATGCGTTGCCGGCATCACTTCCCTTACCTTCACCGCCCTTATTTCCTGAAAGTTGCATTATTAAGTGGGCTGTATCTTGTTAACTAACATTCCATCCTATTTTAAAGGTAAAAGACCAAACTTGTCAAAATAAAACAGCAGTTATGGCCCAATGTCTAAGTTTACAAGGTAGCGGGATGGACCACCTTAAAATTCTAATCGCTATGGTTTATCTTCCAAACTACAAATACCAATTTTCGCTTAATTTTTGGTTTAGTTAAACAGTAAGTGTCACGTCTGATTAAGGAATTTTCGAGTAAATGCTTTAAATGCTAGTTCAGATGAAAGTTTGTGCGTCGCTTATATGTGACGCCCGTGACTAAAAATTAAATTCTGAGTTTGATGGATAGAAGGCCAAAAAATCCATCGAACTCGTGTCTATAAGACGGTAAACACCTTTATCTTGGTAGATTAATGGCTCACTTTACTGATGGCGTGCTTTTGTGTGGGTTTCAGGAGTGACCTAAGGCCAGATCTGGTGTAGAAAAGTGCCAGAGCAATGTGGTCCTTCACACAGACCACAAACGTCGTCTCGAGACTCCCACAATTATGCATAATGTCCCCTAACATCGTCTCATTATCCTTGCTGGGTAATTGGTCCTAATAAACGGTTCCATAAGAGCGAGAGAAACCTCGCCTTCATTTTGTGCCTGTGTATGCGTGTTTGCATACAAAATGATGTTTTGGCCCCTTATAATGATAATAATACCTGTCTTGCACACATACTTTGGCGACCTTTTTTCATAGGGGCATGGCCTTTATCAGCACTGTGGTTTTGTGTTTTTGGGTATAAGTTGAGCATTCATGAGCATGCAGCCAACTCAGCCGGCTGGTGTATGGACAGACTTGTGTGGCTCTAATCCAGTACCTCTCTGTGGAAGTAAATTTACTGCTCAAAAGCACTATACATCATAAGAGGAGTATGAACTGTGCTTGTCAGAGCAAGTTTCAAAACCAATTCCTCCATAAAAGTAATGCGTGAGTTTCAGGAAGGCCTCATTACAAATTCTCCCGTCACTACAATAAAAGAATCGGATCCTAAAGATGGTTTAAATTACTTTAAGATTTGGCAAATCTTGGTAAATTATTTAGTTAAGCTATTCACCTTTAGCGTCGCATATATGTGACGCCCAAGTTTTCACATATATAAGGCATAATTACTGATTGCACCAAGTTGTATCACAATTACTGTGCCTTTATTTAGAAAAAAAAGGCAACTGAGAGGTATTTTTGGCATAATAATCAAATATGCATTCCTAGTTTTGTAAGCAGCATTTGGATGAAGCATTTCAGTCACGGATATTTGGTGTCAAATCGGGTAAATCGGGCTGTGTTGCTTATTTTTTCTCTAACAATGCTAATATTCATGCTAGAAGTTTATCCCACTTCCTATCATAGTTTGAACTCCTTTAAGGTGCCCTAGTCTACGCTCTGAGCACTTTGAGTACTTCAAAATCTTGATAAGAATGGTTTGAGCTATCCGTGTCTACTGCTCTCTACTGATAAATAGTGAATTTATTATGAAATAAGATGAAGTCAGACTTTTTTTTTAAGGAAATTCATAAAAATACCCTTTTCAGGAATTATTAAGCCGTAGTGAGTAGCTTAACCTACTGAACATCGAGATCCATAAAATGAGGACCAATCAAAATCCAAAATGCTGGAATCATTCCGGAGTACGTAATTTGGATGTTAGACCGGAGACCCTGTCTCTTCGACAAGGTATGTGATATATCAAACGAATTTAATTTTTTTGTTGGATGAAGTTTAATGTGTGGATCTCCACCTACAGATTCTTAATTCTACTTGGATATTCTCCCTACGCTCCCGATACACTGATTCCCTTCTTGTGGTAGGGTTCCGATGCATCATATTTAATGCTACTAGGGACGATTCAACCGTTACGATTAGGCATGTGATCCACCCCTTCACTGCTGCCACCTTGTATCACTCAGTACACAGGTCCTACAAATTCCCTACCTTAGAAGTTACGCTGTTAATTAGAGTCCTTCACCGACATGCTAGGCGTTACGGTGGAAACAACTGAAGCTTAAAGCCACGAGAGCTTTTACTTAAACCTCTCCCCCACCCGAAACACAAAACAACGAAAACTGGTATTAGTATTGCTTTGGTAAAACTTCATAAGTGTTTCCTCTTCCCTACCTACTTATCCTACCAATCCCTTGCCAATGTGGTTTGCATTTTAACCTAACTGACAGCTTTACAATTTCACCAATTCACACACACATTGCTTAATAAAAAGAAAAAAAACCACTTCGGGCTAAATATCGGGAAGTTTATTGCTAGTGAGATGGGATGGAACATTAATTTACAATAGCTTAGAGGTAAGTGTGAGGAGTGCATCATATTGTCAAGGGATTATATGAAAGCCTGTGGATCGACTCGAACATGCCTTTGGCCGCCGCTCCTTTTCTCTAAATGCTCTCCGATGGCTAGTTTTGTGGTATTCAAGGTTTTTCTGTCCCTCCTGATGGTTGAAAGAGGAGGGGATTCAAGGGCCGTTCGGCGGTAGAAGCGCCTCCACAAATGCGTGATCTCAAGACGTCCTCAGGCTCCTCCCGAGGAGGTACTCCAATGGATGGGGCCAGCATTCCGAAGGGAAATGGGAGATTCTGAAGAGAGCTTGTAGCTGCTAAGAAGGCGCCGAACAGATGTGGAGGAATAGCGGTAGGGAGGGAAGCTATCGGTGGTGGTGGCGGGGGTGGTGGTAAAGGCAATGATGGCGGAGGCGGTGGCAAAGCCTGTTGAATTGAATCTTTCCCCTCTTCAAATACATCTCCTGATACTCTGTGAGCATCCCCCTTGGGGGAGTGGTTATGATGCGAATCAGACAGCGGGGATGAGTGCTCACTGGTTATGGATAGTTTGATACTGTTACTTGAAGCAAATGTAGGTGCTTGATTGCCTGCCGTCGATTTCACACTTGCCATATCGGCTGCGCTCCGCTTACGCCATTTCGTTCGACGGTTCTGGAACCACACCTGGAAAACCAAATTAAGCAATAAAAGACTTGGAGGAAATGTATTTGCGCGAAAGATTATAAATTTATGATCGCCAAGGCCATCCATCTCTGTGTCAATGTGAATTCCACTCGCCTTTTGACCCACTCCTAAAATTAATTGGGATATCAATTGCCTCGGCGCGTCTTTCTGTTTATCAAGCCCCTATAATTACCCCTCCAAGGTGATAGGAGACAGCTGTTTTGTGAGCTAGACAGGCAAGAATCAACAAAATTAGGGCTGCCTTTCTTTTTTACGTAAAGTAAATGTGCTCCAGACCGCTTCTGCATAATTAAAAGTGTCGCTCCCTCGCTGCTCCCCCCTTTACCCCACTTCTTAATGTGGGATTACAATAAGCATTTCGCCGACCTAATGGAGCATCCACTGCATTCTCACATGAAATATGAATTTAGTCAGAAGATATAACAACGCGGTTTTTCCCTCAATATCTCACTCCCCACACTTTCAACCCACCACCACCACTATCACCAACTCCTATTTCTCTCTCGCCCTCTTACACACACAGAAAATGGGTATGAATTACTTATGGGATAAGTCCCCGCCTCATTCCATATCAGAAACCACACTCATATACACCCCACTGATGATTGTCCGAACGCACGAGCGCGCAAAACAATCTCTGTCCTCCCCAATCCCAGCTACGCGACACCACTACTTCTGCTGCTACTGCCGATGGGGTCTTGTCAAAACAATTATTAATTCATATAGCAAGAGGTGTAATGTTAGGTGACGGAGAGTGTGAAGATCATGCCCACCCGATTAGCATGGGAGGTGGGTGAGAAACGGAGAGGAGAGGAGAGGAGGGGAGGGGAATAACACACGCCAGACTACTCACCCCTAACGTCGACAATCGCTATTTTGTAGCAAGCCCCGACCCCACATTCAACGTCTCTTCTCTCCTCGTTGCTGTTACACCACCCTACTCATGTCGAGAACCAATCGTCCCCTGCACTGGATAGGACGAGATGGGACAGGATATTACGAGAAGAAAAAAATGCGGCAATGATCTTTCGTGGTTCAACTTGATGTCTTGAATGCGTGAGAATCGTGTCAGGTTCACCAGAAGTGCTCAAAATTCTCACGTACCTCCTTGCATGAGTAGAGAGATGCACCAGTTGTTTGATCTGTGGTGTTTTTGAGCTGTGAGCGTGAATTGTGTGCGTATGTGTACGCAGTGATGTGAAAGCGTATAGCAGAAAGATGAGCTCTTAACGCTTCACTCTCACCACTGAAACCACCAAAAGGACATTTTCCGCTGCCATTGGTACACACAGACGAATGATAATCTCCCACGACATACCTTTCACAATACAATGGTACGTGATTTGAGTGCTGACAAGAGCTTCACACTATCGACGCTCTCTGAGCAGTACAAGCACCACTGCCTCAGAACAACACACTGTCATGCAGAAAAATGTGAAATACCCTGTAAGATTTCTCACCACACAAAAGTACGTTTCCCGCCTTCGAAACATGAAAAGTAGATTATTGTGAGCACCGGAATTGTGTCCCATTAATACTTTCTACTCCAAAGGTGGCTCGAAGTACTGGAAGTTTAAATCACATTTGCGTAATTACTTTTCACATCTTCTTTTAAAATTGGGATATTTTGAGGAAAAAACTGGAAAGTAGACAGAACAGGGTCGAGCGCTGTCCATGAAATAGTGCACAACGCCTAAGAGTGTAGGTATGTGAGGCACCGATGCCTCGCGGCATATCTACCCAGAAGTGTGAGTACCAATCATATGACTCCATTTATGACAGGGTGATTCCATTAACATGTTTTTAATCAGTCAACCACTTTCTTAATGGTTATGCTAGACAGGATGTGTGCGTCGGCTCCTGGGTCCCCCTATTTACTCAGATTAATTGTTCTTTGTCACCACAGTAACACGGAGGACGCCACGGCGATGTGCCACTACTACCACTTCCTTGTACAGGCCTGCTGCGCCAACAGCCAGTAGTCGCGTGTGTGCTGTCGCGCCTGACAATGTGATAAGAGCGTTGGAGAACATTGGACTTTAACATTTTCGTGTCACAACGCGAAGAGGGATTCATGGGAGTCGCTTGATGCCAACATGTCTAGCGCAAAAAACCACCACTGCCTTGCCTACGTTACAAGAGATTATCGAAATAGAGAGAAAAAAAAATCCGGTAATGGGAACGAAGTAATTGTGATCATGGTGCTAATGTTAAATGGGATTTGTGACTAAGTCAATTGTTGATGTATGACCATCAATTGAAAACCACTTCGTAGTAGCCATATTTGGTGGTTGGTTGAATTGTGTACGGAGTCGTAGCATAGGTGAGTAATTTTGCATCTTTACAATCCCTTTACAGAGTAAAGAATTGTGGGAATTTCGTTATCTTGTGATCTCCAATCCGCTGAAATTCACGATTGTTATAAGCCAACAACTTTGACAAAAAACTGATCTGTTTTCTCACAGTTGCAAATAAAAATACCTTACGGTGATTATTAGAGCCTTAGAGTTAAATTACTCAAACTATTAATACAATAAGAACTGATTAGATTGTGTATGGTCCGACTGCCTTCCAGATAATAAAAGTTCAGTCCTTTCGAGCCTCAACGATTTATATCAACTTACCGGTGCGATAAAATAATAAAAGTATGAAAATTTGTGCATCAATGGTTTAAAATGATTTCAGGTTGTTAGTTTTGTCCCATCAGAATTTTTGGTAAACCGTAATGGTGGACAATTTTCTTCTATGTCTTACCGAATGATGGAAGCCACAGTCGGAGACAGATCACGAATCCCGAGGTGCAATTCAATTAGCCATAATATAAACTCTAATTGCGGTTAACGTCATTCGCGATTTGTCATGAATGACATCCGCCCAGATGTGCCGACCTACCGATCAGTCGGTAGTAAGTGATAGATACCTCCTTGGTACATCTGCACACGAGATAAATGACAGTCCAGTTGATTTAGAGATTTCGCCTTCATGCAGTTAGTCAGGAAAAAAGAATAAAATTTGCGACTCATCCGAGTTTAACATCAACAGTAGGTGGATTAAAAATTTCTAGCATATGACCACCCACTCCACTGCCCATATTTGTTCGTCGCTTTGTGTTTAAATTTACCTCGCCCCTTGACTCCCTCACCCCCCTTATCCGACACAACCCATCTTTTCATCCCTTTTACTGAGGAATTAGCGTGTTCCCTCTCCTTTTTACTGTCTTCACTGGAGCTGCATGCGTATACCCACACGTGTTGGAGGGATGTTGGGTGGTCAAAAAACTTTATTCTCCACACGCTTGAAGGTATAATCACTGGACCATCATGACAAGCCATTGTAGTGAATCCCGATTTTCGAAAGGGCTTCTAATAACGAGCATAATTGTGTGAGAAAATTAGAAAAAGATAAACAGCAAAAGCTTCCAAAAACTACACTTTTTTGTTTAAAATGTCACTTTGGTCGCTCCTACCATCACCGTTCATTACATAAGCTAGGTCAACGAAATACACTGTCAAATGAGGTCAGGTGTCAAATTATCAGAGCTTCTGGTTCAATAATTCTGAGTGTTTCCAAATATTACGCTATTCATGCTCTTCCTCCACGTATACAGAACTCCTTAACTGTTCTCCTTTATTGCCGAAAGAGCCTTTGCATGTACTTTAATGATTCCAATTTATTTTTAAATATTTCGAATTAAAATTTAATAATTAGGAGTGGGTTCCCAACCTTCTCCTCATCATGTTTCCCACCAGGCTGTGACTTCCCTATTGTTCCACCTGAGTCCGATGACAGTATGGGGCTACGCTCCTCCAAACTGTCTCACAACGAGATTTTCTGAGTTAGAACACATAAATTAGACCAATGCTGTTGCTGGACTGAGTTTCCTTCAACCTACTAGCCACTAATCCAGGAAATATGGATGGTGGGAACTCTAGTTTTCTTGATTTTCCAACAGCGATTTTTGCTCTGCCACGCATTGGTCTTCCATGTCTCCCAACAGCGGACAGCCACTGCCGTCAAGACAGGGGCTGACGGTTGCCGGGACTGAAGTGTGCATTTAAATAAATTACAAGGCATGCTTATTAAAAGGTAAATGTACACTCATTAAGTGGCGATTAAAGTTGGGAAACAGCTGTTTCCTTCCTCGAAGCGGGCTAGGAGAGCGGCTTCTAATTGAAGGCCTTGGAAATGATTAGGGTGACACACACATTTGGGTAAGAAAGGAAAAAAATAACGGGGATCTTTCTGTAGGCCCTAATGGATGGAGGCACGTTCACAGTTCCTCACACAAGCAGTTTGAAAGTGTAACGTACTTCTGTTCTAGCACGAACAGTGGGGAACAGAGACGTGGTGAATTGTCGCTGTGTTATGCCCATTAGGGGATAAACAATCTGATAAAAGAATCGGGGACCAGATTGTCAGTAATTTAGAAGCAGTTACAATGTGGTTTACGTGCCCTATTAATCTTACTCATTCCCACCCCGCCTAGTCTCTGCTCCGTATGTACAGCCCCGCCGAGTCGGGTAAATGGGTGTCATTTTGCTGTGTGATGACACCGCGATAAAGCACCACCGTCTGTTCAATATTAGTTGAAGTCAAGATTGTGGGAAAGTACCGCCATATGTCCATATGTGAAACCGCAGCAGAGTGGACTGGGGGGCCGGAACTTAATTCTGGGCTGAGGAGACCCATGCTTAATAATGGCGGGAAGAGAGAAGAGGAGGGGATGAGAATGGGTTCCTACGGCCGTCAGGTGACTCCTTCACCGAAAATCTGGAGCTACCCTTCCAATCAACAGGGGGTTCAGGCGGTGCCGGACCCATCTGTGTGTCACGCGGGTCCCCAAAAGTGAACCAGATGGGCTCCTGTATGCGTGTGCTCAGGCGAAGGAGGGAGAAGGGATACAATCACAAAAAATCGTCTCCTTCCTTCATAGGATAGTAATTAGGCGGTGAAGTGAGCTGGAGAGATTTTTAATTATGGAAAGTGCTCAAACATCTGGTGTAGCTTAAGTTGAGCTGCGAGGCTTAATGTAGGAGACCGTATTAACGCTTGATTGACTTTGATAAGACATCAAATCTCATCTTAATGAGTTCGAGGCTCAATGGAGTCTTCATTGTTGCTTTTTTTTTCAATCAAACGATCCTCAACCCGCCTGCTGCATACCCCAGTACTTGGGAGACTACAGTATTATTCTTTCTGTCAGTGTTTTTATGAGCAAGAGAATGTGAAAACTGACCTTAACCTGACTCTCCGACATCCCGAGAAGGTAAGCGAGACGTGCCCTCTCGGGACCCGCAAGGTATTTCGTCTGTTCGAAGGTCTTTTCCAATGCGAAAATTTGTTGCCCCGAAAACGTCGGTCTTGTGTGTTTCCGTTTGCCATCCTTGTCTGTGTGGCTCATGTTCTCGTCTACAGTTACCAATGCGTATGCCATTAAGTCAGCTCTAAACTAAGTTATTTTATGGCTTTCACTTTCTTCCTTATCTCACCCTTTCGTGCTGCATTGTCTGTCATTTTGCGGAATTTTTTGGAATCACAAGTGAGTAGGTACCACCTTGAGTAATCATTAGGTATTTAGCTGCGAATCCACGAGGAAGATGGCTTTTAGGACTCGGTAAAACGCATTTGCTGGGGCTTTATGACTTTGCCATGTGTTTCAAAGCATTGAAAATGACGTGTGTCACAGGCAGTGACCAGAATGGTCTTCGTGTCATTAGTTTGATAGCATTTTATCACCAAAGCAGCTGTTCACACTACGCTGCTGCATGTTATCCCATAGGAGGGTCAGGTTAGGGACCTAGCAACCTCCCTTAACTCAGGCCAGGGTCAATTGGCAATGGCTTGAAAGGAGAAGGAGGAGGATGACTCTTGATGCATGCAAGTTTAGAAGGCCATTTGCAATAATAATTAGTGTGGAGAGGGGAGAGATGTCTCGTGGTGACGGTTTATGCAAATTACGGTCAAAGCGTCATCAAATACGCCAACACCATTACCCATCTCTCTTTCAGACACTTACACACATGTACTGTCCATCAAAACCGACTGACATGATAATATAAACACACACCCATCAGCCAAAGCAAAAGGTGCTACTCACTTGGATGTCGCATCCAAAGGAAACCGGGATTTGGCGATGGTGAAGTGGGCATGCCAACGTGGGGCATTCCGAACTTTTGTGGGAAGAAAGTGGCACCAGATGATGCCCTTGGCATTTCGGGTTCACTAATAAAAGCAGAGGGGCTAACCCCGGGTAGATAGCCAGGACCACCGAGCTGCCTGAGAGCTGCTGCAAAGTCTGGGGAAGTTTCCTGGGGTAGAAAGCGTAGGGGCGGATGGTGTGATGTCCAGTTTATCAGTGAAGGAGGCGGTGGTAGTGATGGTAGTGGTGGCGAGGCCCTTTTAGCATCCTTCTCTTTCTTCTCTTCGTTTGAAAAGGCTGGGGAGCTTTGACGTTGAGCAAAGTTGACAGAGGATCTCGGTGACTCCCTGCTGATCTCATTGTGGTTGCTTGTTGTGTCGTTCACTCCCAGAATATCACAAATGCCATGAGAAGTCCTAGGTTTCGGTGGACAGTTGTTCTTACTCTGCCCTAGAATTCCATTTAAACTTGGAGGTTGAGGGATCAGGTCTCCAAGATGATAAGCAAAGGGGTTAATGAGTCCATTTGATGTGAGAGCAGCCAGAATGTTGGAAAATAGTGTCTGACTCAATTCCAGTGGGTAATTTGAAGGGAGTTTAGCTGTGACATCTTCGGGAGAAGTAGCCTTGAGATTCCTTTCCTCAGCAGAGGAGTTGCCACATTTTGACACCTTTGTTTCAATGACTGGACTGTCTGGTTCAGAAATGGGAGCTTTGCGGCGTCTACTCGGAGATAGGGGAGTTGGGTGGGCCTCCATTTGAAGTGAGTACTGATCATCCACGGAGTCGGATTTAACGCCAGACGGTGGAGAGTTCAAGAGGCCAGCTGCTCGGAAGAGAAGCGAGGATCGTTCAATTGCTTCCATAAATTCGTTCCTTCTCGGTGAACAGCCGTTTGCCAAGTGAGTTCAGGGTGAAGGTGGTATCGTGTATGTATGTGTGTGTGTGTAGGTGATACGCGAGTGGGATCGTTGGAAAGCGCAGACGGACACACTGCAAGGAATTAAAATACTATCGCTGCTGCTACTGTTACAACTGCTGCTATACGCGTGTGTATGTGTCTGTGCGTGTGTGTGCGCCTGCCTACAAGCCATAGCGTGTGCTAAATTGACTCTGACCCAATGAAAGTGCGTGGCTGCGAGTGCTCGCATGGGTGTTTCTAGGTGTGCGCGCTCACACCTGACTGGTTGCTTCTCTCTCCCGCAAAGGGCGCTAAAAGGGGAGAGGGGGAGACAGCTTGTGCGCTCAGTGATTGGTCTAAATCAGCCCAAGAGTGATCTTGCGTTCTGCACACTTGCACCTCTAAAACACACCAGAGACGTCAACCCAATCGTCTAAATAGATCGTCAATTAAAATGAGTTTAGCACATTACTATTAAATCAGTTGTGTTGGGAGTTATTAGGCAAATGGGTTCCATCAGTATGTATTACTGGATGACGCTAAGGTTCAAAGATTGTCGGTTTGTTACTCTTCAGGTGTTTCACCTCATAAAGCGCTTTGTGGTGACTGACTGACTGACTGCTTGAACAGGTGACCCTCAGTGAGAACTGATTTTTATGTTTCAACGTCATTTTTGAGCTCCGAAAAATTGCTCTCTCTACTCACCTAACACTTTATCCCCACAAGGTTGCAAACACATTTCTTCACTAGGAAGTGCTTGCTTACTGAGGGTCACACATTTCCGGCCTGGATCTATCCACTCAATACAAGTTAACTCAGCATTTGAAACCACTTTAGATTTCTCTATTCAGCGATTTGCAAGGGTTTTATAAAATTCAGGCCTCATCAATCTAAAGCTAGGAATAGTAGAAGCTCTGGCTATCGTTAAGGGTATGTCCGCGGTAAAAGCTTAACCTGCCCCTCCGCTTTGGCTCACAAAACGGCCTCTTCAAAGCTCGTCTGACATCACAACAGCAAAAGCGTTGAGCAGCAAGCAATTACCATCACATCTGTGAATATTCATTCCGTTTGATTACACACCAAAATGTGTAACCGCAAAAGGAGAAATAAAAGTTCTGGTTCAAAAAGGCCATTTTATGCCATCTCGAATGACGTTAATTTCCACACCGGCAAGAGGCAGGGGCAGAGAAATTTCCTTATACAATGGTGAGGTGGAAGCAATGGCAATGATATACCCTTTCGCTGCTCCTTCGATGGAATATAATCCAAGTCTATTTTGTTGCAATGGACTCAAAAAAATCTGTTTGATGCAACCAGTTTTCCACCACAAACTAGGAAAACCCATGTCACATATACGTGACGTTGGTGGCAACCATATTAAGATGTCACGAATATAGCTTAAAATCTAGATTTTTAAATGTAATACAGTTTGTAAGACTAAATTTTAAGTCAACAGTCTTTGAAATCTAAAATTCTGTCATTGAGTCGTTATTAAATGACCTGAACAGGTTAGGTTCACTATTCTATGACCGGTCACAGCTATGATGGTTATAGAGGCGGAATAAATCAAGCAGCAAAGCATTGGCTCAATTTACCTGACCATCTTTCGAATAATCGGCAAAATTATTTTATTTACGGCTTTTATTTCAACTGTCAGGTGGTAAGACTTAATGACGAATGCCACAAGTAGTCTCTTACTGTTCACCAGAATAGTGATGGCTATATTCCTCAATTAAACACTAATGGGGGGGGGGAGGTTTCTGATTTTATGAGTGTGAGTCCATATGTATGATACTGCAGGTAGTAAGTAAAGCTGATAATTTGAAATCCTACGTCATCCAAAATGCTTACGCCTCTCGTGGAATAAGCAGGCGTTACTACAGGCATAGGAGGAAGTCGTTGTGAAACCGTTAATGAAACTAGATTGTCTTCTTTTAATCACCAGTAATTATATAAAAGCGTGCACAAGTAAAAATACACACAATACAGACGTATTTGGGAATTCTCGCTTTGTTCCAGACTTCGCACCGCTGTTTATACACAAATATGATGGTAAAGTGACCAGGCGTGGCGGATTCTCGGCTTAATACCTTGCCGGCAATCCGGCTCACCTAAAGGTGTAAACGCCTGTGAAGCGCATCAACAAACACAGAGGTGCGTGCGTTGTCTATGTAAATTTTAATGATAAATGAGATTTTGACTGCCATGGTCTCATACAAGATGGTGCCCATTTATGAACACAGAGGTGGCGCAGCGAATTCCTCCAGACGGCCGCCTGTAAAACATTCATTTAAATTACCCACTTCAAATTACATGGTAAGACAACTTGAGCGGCTCAAGGCTCAACATGATGTGGGTATTCGACTTCCTGCATAATGTTCACTTTCATTTGCTGTTAAAAGAGGGTTAATATGAACAATGGTATCGAAGTCGCTAAGTTTATAAATCCAATAGGTCACAAATGCCAAACTGGATGTTTAAACCTCTGTGGCACTCAGGTGAACTTGCACAAAAATTAACTTGGTATAAATTGATGTAGCATAAAATATAACCTACTTTGGAGGCAGTCGACATTTATATTCACAAATATGAGACGATCTGATTTCCTTACTTGAACCCGTATGTCACACATATGTGACAGTGCTTACCCAAAGATCACTTATTACACGCAGACACCCAGTAGAATCAACCAATCCACCATCAAAAACCAACTTTCCTCAAATTTAACTTTACATTCTTTACTTATTTAACCTACCTGACCACCAAAGTTTTCCACCCACCCTCCTAACCACCTCGGTCTTAGCTCAGGCTTTTATGTGACCAATTTTTCAGGATTTATTCCCACTGTAGCAATGGCACTCATCAAGTCATCGACGTAATATGCCTGTGTTCACTGGACACGTCCTCCAACTATTTCGATGACTTTTTGTAAGCAAAGTAGATTTAGATCCGTACAATCATGAAGAAGAAGGAGCACATGAAAGACAATTGAAGTGCTAGATATCACTGCTTAAAGCAAACTAGTCACTGTAGCCTGATGGAACCAGTATAAAGGATTTTGTTATTAGTCAGGAGGTTTATTTAAACACCCAAAGTCAACTCAATGTGATTGTGCAGTAAAATCCAACCAAGAGCTAAAAAATTCAATTTTTATGCCAAAAAGTATTTGCACTTTCCTGCTTTCAGAGAGAGTGAGAGAGAGAGTAAGAGAGTTTACTCAGTAAAATGTCCAAATTTATTCTAAGGAGTCACGAAGAGGAGTATTCCATCCTGTGATGAATAAATTACCGCAGAACCATCGAAGGTCAAAGATTCTGTAATCAGCAGACACAGTGGCTGTGTGAGAGCACGACCAAATAAATATTGGTAGCGCTTTTTTGCCTTTTCTAATTAATGCATGCAAAGGATATCTCTAAGAAATGGTGCGAGCGATGCAAAGGAGGCCTTTAGTGGTGCAAAGTACACAATCGCAGAGGTGAATATGTCAGCTTCCGTAGACGCTGAGGTAGCAGTCAATCAGTTTAGCAGCTCCTCATTTACGGTCCAGTGATTAAGATTTCAACGAATAGACGAGTTTATTTTTAATCGGCTATTTCTCTAATTTACTTTTGAGCAACTACTATACCAAGAATTATTTAAAGGCGCTAGTAAATAAAACCTATTCAGAAAGAAAATTTGGCCACATTCTTGACTACATTAACTTCAAAAGGCCATCACGTTACAGGCGAAAGAAGCTGAAGCATGGTCCACCTAGAATTAAACCACCTTCGCGTTCGTGAGTTAACTAACTTGTATCTTTGGTGTTTGACCTTTAGATTTGACTGTGAACTGGGGAAATATAAGCAAATCTGGATGAGCGTTTGTAGGAGCTCATCCGTAGGTAAGGACAGGATTTTGTCTTTTACATAGATGAGTGTAATGGGAAATATTTTATTCAACATAACCTAAGTGATAAATGGCTGTGAGAATGACATTGTGACGAGTCATCACTTCTCGCCTTCCCGAGTGGACAAGAGTTATTGGCAGTGACATCACACGTTTCTTTTTTGTACCTCAAACACCGCGACCCAAATACAAGACCCCAACCATTTCTGACATAAATTGAATCGCGTCGTTGTGATGTTGTGGACTGCCATCCAGATGCTGGAATTTGCATTTTTTAACAAACGGAATGACTTTTTAGTAATATTTAATGGGAATACCTTCACCGAAGGTATTCTTATTGGTAAGGCTGCCATCTTCAAAGAAAATGTCTCAAAAATCACCTCAGATTTTTCTGAGCTGCTAGTGGTACAATTTCTTAAATTGTCGCGTCATAATGTGCATGCATTTATCTTTAAGAGATTCAACTAGGAATAATCATTCGTATAGAAAATTTTAAACCCGAAATAATAATGACAAAGAATACATCGATTTCATGTGATCAAAAAATTATACTGCCCTCTTAAGGAGGTATCAGTTAATTTTGCGAATAATTGTATTAATAATAGTATATCGTCCCGAATCATATTTCCAGGACAGAATATGTTTTGCTGACATACGAGATGGTTGAAGGACCACCGGCTTGTTCTAGAAGCCATGTTGCCGGGTGGAAGTGCATTAGGGGAGCCTTTAGGTGCTTGCGTAATCGAAATGAAGAGTTAAACAAACAATTGAGGCATTATAAAGAGTGAGGGCAATTTTAAACCAATTTTGGACCCTCGCCGTCCCCGTCTTTCCAGCCCCCCACTACCATTACCTCTTACCTGATTCCACCAGACAGTGGTAAAGACGCGGTTTTGCACAACACTGCAAAGCCCCCGCCTAAATGATGCGAGGGTGGTCTATCGGCAGTTGTTTGATAAATTGTGGGAAGGTGGCTTTCACTGCCATTCTGTTAATTAAAATGACCGTGGGAAGCTCTGCATTCACTGTAGTCGCCATTGAATGTCAGCAGCAGTCTTGCCTCTTGTCTCGTGCAAACTT